CATCCATACACTTTCAAGTACAGATCGATTAACTAAACTCCAGATAAAGGAGAAGAAAAATGGATAAGGGGGAGAAAAAGAGAAAGAACAATAACCGGGGGAAGGTGGGAGCCCCGATATAGTCTGGCCACGGGCTCAAACAAAGGCCTAGCGGCAAAAGAATTGAGGTCGTGGTAGTGGTATCGGCAAGCACAGATAGGTCTTCACGTCAAGGTATCTGGCTCGACCCGGGATACCGGGTTTCATACGGGTGCCTTTTTTGTGCCTGAACTCATTCCTCGACTGTTATTACCAGGGGGGTCTGTGTACAACCTAGTGGGCAATATATATATGGGCCTCGGCTGGGGTATAGAGTGAACTGTGGTGATATTATGAGAACACATGATAAATAGAAACCTAGATTCGTCTCTCCAATTCCGCAGGTTCTTACTGTTAAAAGATATGGAAGGATAATAAGAATTGTGGTTGATTTGAGGGGTTGTGGGGGCCTGGTGATTCGTGTGGGAGTGTTATCACTGTTATGGATCATTCCGGAGCTTAGATAGTTTGTGGGGAAGATTATTAGGGGACCGGCTTTCCTCTGTTGCCGCTGCAGTGTGCCGGCAAATGGGGGCATGGTTAGAAGCACAGAGATAGGTGTGGCGATCCGTGGGAGGACCAAGATGCATCTATTATGTCTAATATATGCTCCTATTCCTACCCCCTGTTTAGTGTAAAGTGTAGTATGAGGAGGGGAGGGGGGACGGAGTTGTTGGCCATATCTTCCCCGCCTGTCCCAAATAGTTCTGAAGTCCCAAGCAAATCCTCTCACCCTACATCTCCGCCCCCGATCCGTTAAGTTTATACGGATCTGTCCTGAGGTAGCATAGAAATCGCAGCCTGCATTGATACATTAGGACACAGACTTTGCATCAGGTTCTGTATTTCATACATCGGTAGTTTCCTTGTGGCGAGGGAGATATCCTACTTTAGGATCTGCAACGCGGTGCACACAGAAGGTGCCTCGAGCTTTTCTTGTGAGTGCAGTCTATTCTTGATTGGGAAAAAACCCCAAGTGCAAGCGGTATAGAACCTTAGCTGCTATATCAGCTGCTGAGAATGCGAATGCTGTGCAAGCCTAGAAAACCAAGTACTCGAGTAATTTTATTATTATAGCTGATGCTAAAATTTCTCTTCCAAGTTGTCTCCTCGAGTAATGCGAACTAAGACAGCCAATGGGGGAAGTAAATTGATCCCATGACTAGCTGGGTATTATTTATCCACAACGGCAAGGGAAGTGTCCACAACTTAGTGCTGTTCATGAGACTCGGAGCGGACTACACCACCCATACATACCACCGAATGTATGGAGTTTGACAAATCTTTTTGCTGTATGAAATAGCAGTCCGTTTTACAACATCACTACATCATGAGCGAAAGTAGAGCAGATAATGTGTGGTCCAAGAGGGCCACGAAGGCCACTTTTTTTTTTTTCCGGGGCACTCTATTGTGTTGATGGGAAATTGGGCAAGCGTATGTAATTCCTTTCACTGCGCATAACTCGATATTTTTGAACGCTGCACTGCAAGAGATTAACTGGTCATCTCCGAAGGCATCTATTAGGGGCAGGAAGTAAGGTATACATGTTCTGCCTATTCAAATTTTCAAACAATATCCATCATGACTTTATAGAGTGGATTGGTCCTTCGCTCGTCAATGAAACAAGGCTGAGAAAAAAAAACTCATCCATGCTCCCCTGGTGATTTGGGGTATAGATCGATAGACTCCTACTTTTAGTGATATGTGATCATCATTTCTCCCACTCAATATATCTGAGGATATGGATCGTGGGGCCCCCTACTGTACTAGCAGTGGCAGTTGGAGAGGGCGATCATAGCTGTGATAAGGAGATTGGTCTGCCTGGCCTCACAATATGTGACTAACTCGAGCTGATAGGGTCATCGATTAAGTTAAATTTACTTTGTTGCTCATAACCAGATCGCAACCGGGTCACCTATTCGCTAGTTCGGTTGCTCTCCAGACAGGCTGAACCCAATCCTATGCACATTCAACCCCCCCCCCCCCCCACCCCACCCCTTCGGTAGCATAAGCGCCATCAGACTCTTAGAACAAGAAGAGAAGAAAGGAAAAAAAAGGATGAGATGAACGCTCTAGTGCTCTCAACATATTAGCGACCAGAACTAGAGTCCAAAACTGACAATCTGGCAGGGTTGAAATCCACATTATTGTGGGGGAAACAATAGCTAGAGCTTAGCACGAAAATTCTGTACGCCGATCGCCTTTGCCCGCTTCCGTTGGACCCCTAGCAGCCCCTCTCAAAAAAAACAAGAGGAGAATCGAAGGTCTTACATATCCTAAAGTTAAGGGGGGGTATCTTTCTAATGAGAAAGCAACACAGCTGACCGCTACAGAAAGAGGTAGCTGATTTAAGGTTCTGCGGATAGCATCTTGATACTGTAGCGAATGACGAAATTTGCAAGTATTATACCGGGCTATGAGAGCACAGTTGCAAATACAAATCTACTAAGCTTGGTGTTGGAAAAACTGACCTCCTTGAGCTTCCACATAAAAGATGCCCATTCCTAACACAAGCGTCCCCACTTTCTACCACTAAATCTTAGAGAGAATATAGTGAGTCCTTAGATAGCACGACCTAAGACGGAGATCCACATAATCAAAATCTGGGTCGCGGGGACTGTCTAGAAATCCCAGGCTTCAGGGTTCTGTAGGCAGAGCTCAAACAAAACTCTCCTAAGGGAGCATTTTTCATGGGAGTTCCACACGGCAGCCATTCCGGCTAACTCCATTCACTTACTGCAGTGTTCGGCGGAGGTGCAGGCAAAGTTCTTCATGGTGGACTTTCTTCTGATCACTATCTGGAGAATAGTCTGTGCGTCCTTGCGCTGGTTGGCCAAACCAGTGTATCTCGCCTTGAAAACCAAGTCGGGTCAATTTCTTTTGTCACCAAGGTCACCCGACTGGCTAGAGCGCATATTGACTTCCCCTTCGCATGAATCTCCAAATTTCTAAATTCCAGTCATCGGCGATACCGCCAGCGATCATGAAAGTGCGATAGGATATTGCGGATGATTCTGGAAGCAATAGGAGCACATAGGATCATTCGTGAGGGCTACAAATATTCAGGCAATTTAGGAGCTTACCGAGGGGTTCCTCTAGATGTGTTTTTCCCCCGTTACCAGGGGAATGTCTGGAGGAGGGACATCATGGGGGAAGAGAGATGTGTGTGGCAGGCTTTGATTCTGTTTTTTATTAAACACCCATCTTCACAGTTAGTTTTTGAGAATGGACGAACAAGCAAGGGAGTTTCTGAAATACCCTTCTCTCACATAGATGAAGCGAGAGCTTTTCCGGCTGTTATACAAGCGCACTATTTATTAATCACCTCACAACCGTTCAAACCTCTCCCCGCGAGAGATACAGCAGGTGCGGTATCTCCAGCCACATGAATTGGCTACGGGAACTACTCGCGAAGAATGGTTTCTCAGTGTACATCAGCAATCTTCACGAGTGAGCTTTTCATCGGCGATCTTCAGCGTGGAGATACCTCTGTAATCTCGAAAATAATATGATGTTCTAAGCGCTAAGGCAATTCGTCTACTACTTGGAGAATTGGACTAAGAGTTCTGTAGTTGGAATAACTTCCCATCTTCTCTAAGTTAGGGAGGTTTGAGGCTTACCTTTTTTGGTTTCCCAAAGGCGCTGACCGGCTGCCCCCGCCCCATGCACTACCGTACTTCCCGCCCCCTTTTCGGAGCAGGGAATTTTCTCATTGCTGATACTCGAGTACTAATACACCACCTAGCGCACAATTCAATTGTCCCAGCCCCCTCGCCATATCTCCTACGAGTACAGTACAGTGCTAGAGGGAGGGATGGATTCCGTGAACACAGGGGTAGAGGTTGTCAACGGGCCCAAAGACCAAATATTCGAGTTTATCCAGTTGGTAGTTTAGAAAATCAAGGAAGATCTCCGCTTTTAATATATATATACATCTGTGCTTGTTGTGCATACGGCCAATAAACCTCGTTTTCATCGCTCCAAAATCCCGTTCACGGACTAACAATGGTGTCCCAGGCATACCCTGGAGGGTCTATCAATTCAGGCAAAAAAATTTGCCGGGCTTGAGTCTGGCTTGCAGGAGCCCAACTTGAAGGAGGGGCAAGAACTCAGCCAGTGACTGCAGCCAGCCATGAATGGTGAAAAACATGCGCAGTGTCGACCGGCACATGAGTAACACATGACCCCACATGCGCAACCCAACGGACAGCGTAGACAAAGCTCACACAATTGCATAACTTAACTCCAAAGTTCCTCATTTTTCATTTTTGCAAATCCCCTACTCCCATGCAATATTGGCTCCGATCTCAAGTCCCTTGTGAGTAGTATCAAAATAGTTTTTCTTAAGAAAAGAAAAGGCCCTGCTGTTGTATACTAGTTTCGGGTTAGCATCTGTGAATGCAATTGCTAACTCGCACCAGAAAATTTTGCCTTCTAGCTCTTATCATCATAGTATGCGATAACAGGTGTGTTCGTAAACAGCTATCCTCATAAACATCACCCTATTCCAAGACCCACCCACATCTATTCAAAGCACCCAATCTTGCTGATGCGCAATAGTAGCCCGTTCAAAAACCTTTCTGCATTGCGGGTCCATCTTGGATGCTGAACTAGTGAGATACCTGTACTCGTATTGGTAAGCGGTAATTGTGAATTCAACCATTATTGCATAATTCTAAGATCCAAGGAAAAGGCAAAGTATTTTCATTATCAGCCTTGCTCATAAGTGCTATTTAATTGTGAGAAGTGAGTAATCACATTGATTATCCCGATGGTAGGGAGAGTTTACTTCTCTAAAACTAAGATATTAAAGCAAAGTTCATTCATACTAGTTCCACCTGCAGGGTAGTACTATATAACTTGAAAGAAGTCTGGACATTATAATTTCTGAATACTACAACTTGAGACCCGCTACCTACATCATGCCTTCTATTTTTTCTGGAGCCCGATGCAGTACTGAACCACCAACAAATTGCGATCAGAGCCTTTCCTGGTGCAGTCAATGCGAGTCCGTGTTATGTGGAGTCTGTTGGAAAATACAGGTTGCCCACCGACCAGCGACAGCTTCCGGAGCAAGAGCAAAGAAGAAGCTGCATGAAAAAACCAATCTTGAGATTGCCGAGTATATTCTTGCCATTCTTGAGCCCAACCTGACCGATGATGAAATCAGGGATGCTCATATTTCAAACGTTAGGAGCAGATGGTTCGGGATGGAAATTGATAACAGACATTCAGTGCAGGCCCTTCTGAAGAGCAAACGGTTTCTGGAACTGACCTCTGGATCTGAGATTGATCCTGCTTTACAATATCCATGTCTGGTGTCTTTTGTGGGGGAAACTGGAGGGGGTAAAAGCACCGTAATTAATGCGATGATGAAGGTATTCTATAAGCACATTGCTAGAAGATTCCGCATATGGTTGCTGACCAGAAATAAAGTCTATAGGAGCAACAGAGATTGAGGGAGTTACACCGGTTATTGGAAACCAACCTGATAGTCCAACCAGCGCTGATGTTCACCTTTTTCTGGATCCAAAAACCATCAACACCACTCGGCCTATTTGCTTTGCAGATTGTGAAGGCTTTGGTGGTGGAAATCGGGCTCCACTTTGTACTAGAGCGAAGGAGAGTTACAAAAAGTTCAAATTCGCCCACTACCCACATCGTACAAAGACACGCAAGAGGAAAATCGAAATTGCCGAAAAGTACACCCGACAATGGGCAGTAGAGAAGCTGTATCCAAGGATTCTATTTACATTTTCAGATGTTGTTTGCCTTGTGAGCAGGAACTTCCGGCAAGTGTGACTTTCTGAAGGACAAGGAGTAACTTACTACTATGCTAACAATTGTTGAGTCTGGTTGATACCACTGAGTACTATAGGAAGCTTGAAACCCATATTGTTGATCTTTTAACTTGGGCAGACAATGCTTTCGAGAAATCACTAAATCAACCAATGCTACCTAATGCAATCATTATTGTCAATGGATTAGAGAGCAATGTATGTTCAGAGTCTCTTATACTGTAGATACTACTACATATCGGATTTATTACTGTTTCAATTCTAACTTTCATATACTCTAGGACAATACAGGAAGTAATTGGTGGGATGTGGATTGGGTGACACAGGACCAACTCAAAAAGCTTAAGGACCGTATCAGCATTCCTTCAAGTTGCGAACCATTAACTCCCCGTTTGACTGGATCTGCCCAAATTCATTCGGAGGGAATCATTTCACGTGCTGCTATAATCCCTGATTTTGTAGGAAAGTTAGCAAATCACTGGCGCACAGAGCAGAAGAAATCAATAATGTCGCTGCAGGATCTAATTTTATGTTACTACAGCGATTTCAAGATTATCTGCATACCTTCTGCAAATGATCCACCCCATATCATCAATCAGCAGTACAGTAAGCTACGTGAGCTTATTGTCCAGGGAGCACGATGCTCCGAGAATGCTAGGAAACTGGCAGGACTTCTAATGACGGGTGAAGATCTAGATTACTATCTGGAACGAGGCTTTGACCACTTCTGTTCCTCAAAATTACCCTTCAACTTCTTGCAGGCTGCAGTGCGGGCCAAGCCTGTTCCTATAACATTCTCTGATCATCTCCTCCGAACATCTATTACACTATTGAAACAACAACCAGATGATAACGGAAAATGTCTTCTCGGAAAACTTGCCCCCATTTTTGCATCTAGTATATTATTAGATGTAATCAGAAAGAAGATTCCCTATAAGGGTAAGCTATTTGATTCAATTATTCCAAATCTATTTCAGAAAATAATGTCTAATAGCTATTGAGATAGGAAATACAACTCGCATATTTGAAACATATCGTGAGCAGTGTGAAACCGCGCAGAAGGAATTGTACCAAAAGTATTGGTGCTGTGAAAAGAGAGATCATAAGGGTAGAAGGTGCGCCAACAGACAAAATGGACACCAGAAAGGGCATCAGAACTACAAGGGAAGAGTTTTTGGAGCCGGAGCATTCTGGGCAGAATCTGTGTTAGACAGTCCGGATCTGATTGAATTTTTCAACCAAGAAATTACGACTGATTTGGAAAAGAGATGCAACTATTGGGAAGCCAAGCTACCTGAAATACAGAAGGAGGGATTTGAAGAGGAAAAGAAGGTTGCACTCGAGACTCATATAGCACTATGCTGTGCAACTCTTTATAGGCACCGTGGACCCTACATTTCAAAGCTGACCAGCCACACTACTTGCTCTTTCTGCCTGATATCGACACCATTGTATCCACTCTTCTGTGGACATGTGATTTGTCAAGAATGCCTTGAATGCTTTGGGAAAAGGGAAGGGAATAATTTTGAGTTGATTCAGTGTCCTCTCCATACCCGCAGGCAATGGGTACCTCCCTGGAGAGTGACTCTCAATCCTCCAACTTCTGGGCTTCGGATACTCTCCTTAGATGGGTATGTTTTATAACATTTTATCTTCCGTACTATACTGTTTACTTACATTGTCACTATCTACTACTAGCGGGGGTGTACGGTCAATAGTTCAACTTACTATTCTCCAAGAGTTGGAGAAATTGATTGGTCTAGGTATCAATATCGTAGACTTCTTTGATTTAGTTATAGGAACCAGGTATGCTATTCACTCTCCAATGTAGTTGTAGTATAAGTTATTAGCTAATATTTTCAGTGGTGGTGGAATTGTTGCAGCTGGGCTAGGAATAGGGAAATTTTCCATTGCGGAGTGCATCCAGAAATTCCGACAAGTTTCCAAGCAAGCATTCGTCAAGCGGCCTGGCATTGGGAGTATAATTGGGCCGGTTATTGAAGCACAGCATCACAGCAGATACAGATCTGTAAATCTAGACCGAGCACTCCAAAATGCCTTTGGGGAAAAGAGTCTACTCTTTGGAGGCCAACGGGATCCAACGGGAGAGCCAACTACACGAGTTGGTGTCTCCACAACTACATCTACTGGCAGGGCATTCCTTTTAGCAAACTATCAGCGATCACCACTTACCCATTGTATGCTTATTAGATTTTCTATTTATAATACATGGAAGTGCTGACTGTCTGCAGCAATTGTTGGCCGTTTTTCATATGAGTTTTATAGAGGGGAAACAGCAGAGGAAGAATTGAAAATTTGGGAAGCGTAAGTGACTAATATAATTCCAATTTACACCTACTGAAAAGTTAACTTTGTGCAGTCTTCGTGCAACTGCAGCCGCTCCAAGATATTTCAAATCATTTTATCATAAGCCTTCCGGGCATACATTCGACGACGGTGGTATCAGATACAACAATCCCGTTCTCCTTGCAAATACCGAGCGCAAAGTAATTTGGCCCGAGAAAAGGGACAGAGATCCGGATATCCTACTCTCAATTGGTACTCTTAAGAGCACCCAATTTAGGTCCAACTCAAAAGTGGCTGATAAGCAGAATTCGAAACCAAGGCTCGGTCTGCGTCAATATATACGAAAAGTATGGAAAATTGCTGCAAATGCTATTGAAGATGATTTAGACTGTGAGAACACATGGCACAATTTTTTTGACAGTCTAAACATACCAGAAACAGGTGAATATCGGAAGAGAAAATACTGTCGACTTAATCCTAAAATTCCTGAGCCACTGCCTGCCCTAGATTCGGTGGCAAGGATGGATGAGTTAGAAAATAGAACCCGACAGTATTGCAAAGAATCACCTGAGGTTAGGAATGTGGCTTTGACACTAACAGCCTCCCTCTTTTACTTTGAGCTGAAAGGTGCCAAAGAAAGTCCTCAACAGGTCGGGACTCGGATGTGGTCATGCAATGGTAAGACATAGTTCCTATTTATTAAATATAAGATTTACTAAAGGTCATAACAGGGGAGATTCTGTGTAGGCTTCCTGCGAATAGTGATTCTCTCATGTTGTTATGCGATCGACTCAAAAAGCACAATACCGGTAACAACAGCCAACCTTGGTTCTATATTGGCAGCGAGAACTACGACTACGAACCATTATACGAAACTCCAGATTCTATCACGAAGACAATCCAGGAGGTGTCAGTGGGTGCAAACTTCTGTTTACCTGTAACTTTCGAGAAATGGGGATCAGACTCATCATGCGGGATATATGTCTCCCTTGGTGGGAGTAAGGGTGAGGGGAACCTCATTAGCGGTTTCCCAAGAAATCCACTTCAAGACAAAACTTGGCGTATGAAAATCCCACCATTAAATATTACTGGATCTATCAGCTGACCCTAGTCAAAGCTCGCCATAAAACATTTCAAGAGAATGAGGGGAGAAAGACACCATTGGCAAACAGGGGGAGGAGGATGGGGAGGAGGACAAGGAGGTGGAGGACGGACAGGAGGAGGGAATGGAGGAGGAAGAGAAAGGGACCTTTCCTCTGGGGATACGCCCGAATTCGGCTCAGAGTGATGGCTATACCACTGAACTCATGAGAAGGTGGTCTAGACCCTTGCTAAAAAAGTCCCAATCCCTATCCAGAATGCCCGACTTGAAAGCGGAATAATTTTCTTTCCCCACCGTGCTTGATATGATAAGGTTGTCCTGGAATCTTGGTTTATTTTTGTATGAGTTTGGCAGTTTTATATATTGATAAATTGACTATGTCCAATAGCACTATATTTGTAGGCGCGGATCACTTGCCAGCCTGCTATGCTCACCGTTAGCCTAATCGCGCGACACAACTCGTACCAGTAAATACCACAGCCAGTATCCATTGATAAAAGTATTTCTCCTGTACCCAGGGACGACCTTACAGTAGCACTCAAGAAAAATTTTCGCTCGTTGGAGTTCAAGGTGTTTCTTGTTCCGAGAATTGAGTACTTTTGCTAGAGTACGAGACGGTTGGAATTGATGCTGGAGCGTAAGGACTAGACTGATACGTTTTAGTTAGTGACAGCTCAGAGGTAGCCAGAACAAACGAGTTAATGGTGGCCCGTTTTCTAGTTTTTCTTGATGACATTACAATGGAAAGTTTCCTTACAAGGAGCGCCCTGCTGACTCCTGGCGCTCTGAGCGGATTCCCCCTCCAGGAACTACTTTTGAATGCTATGCGAACCGGAATCGTCTGGTTGAATTTCATGATAGAGTAAGACTTTAAGAAAACGTCACTTTGGACGGAGAAAGCAGTAACACCCTAGCATGAAGTTCAATCGACTTACGGTGGCCTGTACAACGTTAAGGAGTTCTGCTCCTTAAGTTAGTGCAAAGGATGGTGGCGACCATCGTAAAAAATTCTGAGCCGAATCCATTTGTGCAAGAAAGTCCGGGGCCAACATCGGAGGATAAGGCGAAATTGCCCCACGGCAAGGAAGAAGTTATTTACTCACTACCTAATCAACCACTACCAAGATCGCACTAATGTGAGAGGGATAAAAAACAAGCCGAGGGCTCCATCTCAGTTGGGTAGAAATGTGTATTACGTGGAATATAAGAGGGATAACGAGTGATGAAGTATGTCCAGGGAACCTGGCTGACATGAAAGTCAGGCGAAAGCATTTCAACCCCCGGCCGCACAATACATACTAGGATGGTAGCGAGCCAAAGGCGGGTTTCTGCCTCTTAAAATGACCTAGGGACACTCCCCTCAGGGACAATTCCATAGTCCTCAAGGTTTATGAGGCTATGTGAACGATCTTAAGCAGTACATAGACAATACGACAATACTAGACGAAGAGAAACGATCTGTTCGAATGAAAGAATGAAATAATCACGGCTGCTCGTAATTTCGTTCGCTTACCCTCCAACGCGTACCCCCAAAAGAAAAGAGTAGTTATATCCAAGCATACCAAGTCCCAAAACCATCTCGTATCAGCCATACAAAACTCCCTATTTCTATGATATCCTATCATAAATAGAGGAAACAAATAAAAATAATATCCTCAGTAATCCCCCATCGCAAAAGAAACATGTAGTGAGAAATCAGGACCCCCACAGCTCTCCGTTGACAATACTATCATGCCCACGCATGACCTACAATCCCCATTTCTATTCTGTGACCGCCCCCTGCGCTCCGCCGCATCCATATGTGTTTACCACGGAGAACCTTCTGGCATCAATAGGCTAAGCCCTTAGGCGGCGAGACCAACTTCCGCCTTTATGATGAGATCTTCATGACGAATACTATTTGATCCACCATTAAGACTAATAGGACCCGCAGGTTACAGAGGCCGATCTGACAGCAGAACATACACCAGCAGGATGAATAACTATCTAGCAGCTAGTCGAAACCGGGAGAGATAATCAAGTATGGCAGCTCAGGCTGCTGACACACCTCAGAAATGATCTTAGGAACAAGAGATAATTATCGGCAGTGATTATGATGTCGTGACAGGGATAATATATACCAGTGCGTCTGTTTATCCCTACTGTGCTTGACAGAATCCATCTACTGCCACCATCTGCAAAGGGAGAATTCATGTAGGAGGTGATTCCGGCGGAGGTGTCTTGAGCATTCACGATGCCAAGAGTTTTCATCCAACAGTGAGATATTGGGACCTCATCTGAGGACTACTTACCCCACGGAGAATTTAGCCAAGGAATAAGAACAATTTTCACCGGAGGGTTAGAAATAAACCTTAAATGATGCCGATTGAAGATTTCATCGATGATGGCCTATCATATCTCTGTGGGCTACCTCCAAAGATAGTTTTCGTATTTCCGGTATGCATCCCAATCCATAAAGTACAAGTGCCCACCGTACGTCCCATATTGTCCGGGAGCAGTGCGATGCCTCAAATTCTCTATCGTGAGAAAAATAAATGCCACTTACAGTACCAGCAGCTATTCTCGCCCAGAGTTGGTTGGTCAGGTAGCCCTTGGGGCTCCCGAAATCCATGCACCTTTCTCAACGTGCTTCAAGAAACAGCGTGATCTACTGTGCAGCTAGTTTAATAAAGTTATCATCCCCTTTCAAGAACGATACCTACTAACAAGGGCGGAATAGCAAGAGCATCCAGGCATACGTCTAGATATGCGAGCCTTTACCACAATTTGCTTTCCCTGAATAGTAGGAAGAGAGTCCTAGCGAAGCGTTTCCGGGGACCAGCAGCACTCGAAATGCGACCGGTACCAGAAACATCCAGCCGTGCTGCAGAAAATAATTGGGACCAAAGGCTTAGCCCCCCTCTCCTGTCTGGGTAACGCTTGGCACATGCCGAATCCTCCCTGCGCTCTGGTTATTTACCTTAAAAATTTTTACATGTGGCTGTGTAACGTACTAATAATGTTGAAACCGGCAGGAATCCGGTCGCCCCCCCCCCCCCCGGCACTAAGATGGATGTTAATAAATTCCAAAGTGTCCAGACACTCTATGAACAAGTGAGTACTGTGGACCGCTAATTGATGCATCCCATCCAAGTTGTGGTATAATTCGCTGAGAACGAGAATACGAAATGTCACCTATATCTAACAATCAAGTACCATACTCGCCCTTCCAAAAATCCAGAAATCTCGGCACAGTTTAGGCCCAGTAGACCCCAAGACTTCCAAATAGTGACACTTTTTGGAGTGACCAAGTTGAGCCATCCGCATGCCTGCACCTACAATAGCTGGTTCTGTCCAGGCATGGTCTACCAGTGCCCAGAGCGCAATAATTGGCACCCATCTGCCCCATCTATTGGCCTGCACTTCACTGTACTGTACTCTGTACCAGCACAATCGGGGAAGACCCAGATATATTCATGCTCCGTTCAAATACACAGCCCGCTACTAATTGGTCAAATCTCGGCGATCTGAGCCTACAAGCCAGTCAGAATGGACTGCCTATCCGCATGGGTCATGCACCGGTAGTTGAGTATTCCGTGATTGTGGGCCCTTTCCGGCGTCCCACCGGGATTGTTTAATGAAGCTTTTAAGTTGACCAAGACAGTGACACCACTCCTTTAAGCCGGAGAGCTGGGCTGGTCGGGTTTCCGTTCTCTCTCCATTTGGGCCAATATTTCTAAGACTCTTGGGAACGCAGAAGCCCCCCAGGCCCTGCTGGACCGCACTGAACTTAAAAATTTCCGAAAACCAATATCATACAATGCCCACTGAAACAGGGATAGGGGGATATACTGCAGTAAGCGGATTTGTTCGGCCCAAAGAATAAGTCGCCGGGGGAACGAAAGCGGAAGAGTTCCACAGCCTTAGCCCAGCCGTGCTCTGAGGATTTACCGCATCATACAGGTACGGTACTCATACAGTACCGGTACTTTCAGAATTCCTCGTGGCTCTCTACAATCTCCTTAAATGGTGCGACAGGGGAAATATTGTGCCGGCTCTGTCAATGTCTAAGACAGTGATGAGGGGCATATGCACAATCATGTGGCTAATAGTGACTATGGTCTAACATTTGCGCACCCGCGAATTTATAGCACCAGTTCGTGGTACGGATCTAACACTTTACCGGTACTCCAGCACAAGTACTTGTAATTAAAAAAACGTGTCTATCAATCTGGATCTCAGGCACTTGGACAGAACGACACCACATTTCCACTGTCTCACTAGGGTACCGGCAGTCCGGTAGTTAATGAACTATATTGAAAAATCCAGTGCCGCTCGGTTTTCCAAAGCAACAACAAAAGGGAAAACTGCAGGGGGGGGGGGCTTCTCCTCGGCCCAATCCTCTTTTCAAAATTCTTCATCGTTGCTTACTCATTATGTAAGATTTTTTTTTTGGATGGCCATACTGAATTACTCCTGATCACAAACAAAAAAGAACTGATACTTGGCGTTTTTTATAGCAGGATCTTACTGTACAATCTCTCGTACCTCTCCACCGCTACGAGGAACAATGGGGCGAAGGGAAAATAGGGATTTCTCACCTTCTGATCCCGTCTACAGCAGCTCAACTAGAGAAGGTGTGCCTAATAAGGAATGAGTGGGGGAATCGGCTCCGGGGCACGTGGGTATAGGCGGCGATTGGCGGGCAAGTGCCTATACGGTAATCAAGTGACCAACATGCTTTTGCATATATCCTGTAGTAACTGAAATTACTTCTCCGTTAGCCTTCTTCTTCCCTAAACAATAGCATAATAAAGGACCCTAGGAAAGTAAAAGGTATAAATGCGTATATCATTTTCCGCTTTTTTTTTTCATTTTACTCAGGAAAAATGAAGGGAGAGCCCAGTATAAGGTCCTGGGTTTGCCTCAGAAGGGAGGGTTCTTACCCATTTATACTCTGTAGAGAGCTGGAAAACAAAGCATCTGAAGATGCTGTATCTCCTGGCCATAGATGCCACCCCTCACACCAAAAAGGTTTAAGTGTGTGATCTTTTCATACACCTACCACCCCTACATATAGGGGTGGCACGGCCTAGAGTATAGTTGGCCGTAGAACGTTGTGGATATGGGGACCTGAATTCAGATGGAAGGAAGACAAACGGGAGGGTGTACGACGTACCATAATGGCTGTTTTCACGAGCAATTGGGAATTGTACAACTGGAGGGAGAGAAGGGGTTGCAGGCCATTGAGAGCTGATGTGGGAGTATAAAGTCAGTCGCAAAATTATACTCACTGAGGTG